GAAAAATCCACTAGATGTGTGTTAGTTAAATCAATGCACACGCCACTAAGACAAAAGTGACAACTCTATGTTTTCTTCTATGGATCATATGCATTACAAGGCTAGTGGAACTCTACGTCAAACAATGTACAATTTTTTCTTTTCTTTAAATGTTAATTTTCACATTTCTACAGTATATGTGAAAGGCAAAAATAAAACAAAAAACAAAACCATATTTTGAAACAAACAATGGCGCCTATACACATAGAAAAACATCGGAATTATTCTATTTTGACTATAAGATTGATAATAAATCAATGCATACTGACCTAAGAAAGTTACACAGATTCAAAGAAATCATTGACAGTCAGGCATGTAATTTAACACAAGAGCCGAAGTGTTACTACTGCATTCTAAATGATTATTACTCTGTTCTTAATGAATAACAATCTTTTAGTAACATAATCGTTTACTTTACTACTAATCCATTTTTTTGTACTACCTTCAGATAAATCAGCTTGAAACAGAATATCAACAACTGCCAGAAGGCTGAATATTGTTTGATCATGTTTTTGTCTAACAATTTTATTATGTTATTTCTGCTACTACAAACAATACAATAATAATTTCGGGAGACTTCAATTTCTTGATGTGTGTCAGTGTAGTGCACCCTACCACGCATGTGGTATGGGGTTCGATCACCAGTCAATCCACTCCTAAACCTTGCATATTCGGTAGTCGCCCGTGAAAAGAAGGAAGGTTTGGCGTGAGGCTAGCGATTAGTTGACACAGAATAAGAGTGATTTCGGTTCACTACATAACAGTATTAAATAAATAAATAAATGGTGAAGTAAGCGGAATAGGGCTAGAACGCAGAGTCTTTGGTTGGAAGTTAAAAAGTTAAAGCCAATAAGCAACATTTTCATATTCTAGATATGAACTGGTGTCAGTGTTACTTTCGGGAGAACACTTCATTTTTCTACCACTTGTAAAGTGATACAAATAATATATATATATATATATATATATATATATATATATATATATATATATATATATATATATATATATATATATATATATATATAGACTTTGAAAGTACGTTATGTATCAAAAATACCTCTCCATGATTATTTTATTCATACACACTAGTCGATTAGTGGATAACAACAAATGCATTACTTTTTAGTGTTACTAGAAGTTGATGTATATGAAAGTATTAGAAAATAAAAATAGATGTCATAATTGTTATTTAATTCATTTTGCGATTTTAACAAATTTTAATGAATATGTTAACAGATTAGCATAGCCACTCTGCTCTCTTTCATATACTTTAGCATATTTATTATATTAAAGCTTCAAACAGTCCACTATGAATCAATTTTTGTGTGAACTAATAAATGGATGAAATTTAAAGAACTGTCACTTATCACACGGTCAAAATGTCAATAATTATTCACTTATTTAAAGTGTTATAAATACATCTTAAGTTTGCTGTTAAAACTGAATTGAGCTACATTCGTCCTGTTCCGTATCGCTTTCAATGTTGACGCTGATTATGACGGAACTCAACAATCAAATAAACATTAATGTACTAGTAGATAATAAGTAATATTGTGGGAAAACTGGAATAAAACATGACAGTCCAAACCAGAGCAGATGGAGCAGAGATTGAAATTATAAGATATCAGTTTTAAATTTGAATGCCTAATTCTATGTACTCGACAAACAGATCATCGTACGACACAGGACAGAAGTAAACAGAAGCCATTGAATCTGACAGATAGCAGTTACCTTGATGTCAACCTTGTTCATCATGACAGACTAACGAGTTACCTTATCTAGGACCAATATTCCTGCAGTTCCCATCATGCCAGAAAAAAATAAGTTGGATGGCTAGTAAACTGAGAGGAGTGGCCATCTTAGTTAGTTGCATACACTGAGGAGGAGAATTAACGGTGGTGTTGTACTATGGATGGATAAAGGTAATAGCGTCAAGGTATTATTCTCCCGGGGCTAATCCTCCTGCCTTCCTCCTCTAGGGACGAGGAATTAGAAGAATTTGGTCGCAAAAGTTGTGCACTCCGACTCGCCCTACAGTGCCTCATAACCGACTGTAAGCTCTTCTGTATGGAAGAAACACCGCAAACTCTACTTGAAAACCATATGCATGTCACTGATCTCCAATACTTATCTCTTGTCTGTCTGTCTGTTTTCGACATAGAACTTTGCACATATGTGCGGCAGTTCGAGTCGTCACACTCCATGTATCACACAAAGCAACAGAAGAAAGTACAAGAAATGCATATTAGAGACAGTAAACAGAGGTGTGAGACAAAAGAAGAGTAATAACGAAGAACAATATAGTTTCATTGGAAATCATAAGTCACAGGGAGGGGATGTATCTGCGCCAGCCATTGAGAACGATCACTTTGAGCCATGTCACCAATTGTTTCCAACCATTGGTTTATACCGTCCCGAGGACCCCAACCAGGAAGTCTTAACCTTCTTACGTGGCTGGCTTAAACTAACTGTTGTGGATTTCATTGACTGGTGAGGCCATGTTTTGGTTCGACCGCCGCTAGCTCTTTTCCAGCCTGGCCCTATATCAGATAACATTGCTCGTCGAGGAAGCCGACGACTAGGCATCCGTAACACATGTCATAACCATCTCAGTCGATGTAATTTCACAGCCTCATCGATTGATTTCCCCTCCTTACCTAGCACTCGACCGATGCCTAACCTCAATATAGCTCACCTTATCATACCAATTCACACGGGAGATAGAGCGCAGGCACCTATGATCAAAGATAGCTAGTCTTTTCTCTTATCTCTTGGACAATACCGTCACGCAACACTACTTTTCTTTTCTTTCCCAAACACTCCAGTGTGGGGTAACTAAAAATCAGCAACCGCCAACACAGCACCGTAAGCATAGAATCACCTGATTACCAATCAACTTCTTCATCTTTCTCCTTTCAGATCATTGCTAACACTATACCTCAGACAATTTCGTCGCCTTTTCTTAGTCATAGGCATTGTCACCGTGCTCAGGCAGGATAACAGCGTTCCTAATCTCGTTTAACCACGTTTCCAACTTTATAATGAACTTCCAACATCTGGACCTTGTATCAAATCGGCTTTGGATATGTGTTGTGTCTCCGACACCCACAAACATTACCCCAGTGGACATAATAAATCTACAAAATTCACTCTGCGGTCGCTAGTTAACTCGTTGATTAGTCTATGTAGACTTCATGGTGAGCTGGAGACCAGAATTTCCACTACTTGGTTGGATCCCAGTAATATTTAGTTATCCAATATAGGATGTGTAGCACTGTGCAGAAATTCACACAGTCCTAATTTGAGGCTGTGAGGAATGACCGCTGAAAGTAGAACATATGATAAGAAAGGCAACCTTGAAAATAAGTGTCTTCGTTCATTTTCTCAAGTTAGATGCAGAAAAATGACAAGCGTAGAGGTGTAGAATGTTAGGTAAGAGAGGAAAATCAATCGATGAAGTTGTGAAGCTGTATCAACCGAAGTGGCTATAGTATATACTACATTTGTCGAGTCTGGATGGTTAGATCAAAATGCGTCATCAACTCACATAGCCTTTAACTCTTGACAATGAAATGATTATGAGAGATAAATCATGCTCGAAACGTTATTATAGAATATTCCTGTATAACACTGTGTGATTTCATCAAAATAAATTTTATCCATAATGGTAGTATACTCTACCACAATGCCCCAGTTTTATTCTTATATCTCTAACTTTTGGTTTAGGTCACGTGCGACGCGACGACTGGGCTGGTGGGATTTACGAGACTCTAAGATTTAGTGGCTGGCAACCAGTGGTATGGATATAAACTATGCTCAATGACGCAGATGCATCTATTCTATATTAACTCCCAGATCCGTTAAATTTTCATCATTTTTCGTGTGATTGTTTTTCCACTGCATCTTTTAGAGTTTAGAGAGTGGCAACTCGAACTGCTGCATTGTTTTCTAAGTTGCATGTCGAAAATTGAGTTCATCTGGTACAGATATTTTGATAAAGAAAACTAGGAATTTTAAATAATGTGAGATGACTGATGAACTACTTTTTTGGTCTAGTAAGTAGAAGTAAGAGGGAGTTTATTTTTTTTTAATATAGAATCTTTTGTGATAATTCAAGTAGTTAAATTCACGATTCACGCCTCCATTGAATGGTAATCAGGTGAAGGCTCTCAGTAAATAAGAATATCAAGAAAATGCTATCCAAGAGTAAACTTGCAGTTACAACTGCATTTTAGCCAGTGTAATATTACTTTTTTTTTAATTTAATTTAATTTTTGATTATAGCTTGATTCCACACCGTATTTTTGGTACAAGTATGGAATTTTCAGCATGGATATCGGTAGCCCAAATTTTGCAGGCCGACCATAGATAACAGGTGTGCGTCGGCAGGGGATCGAACCTCGGACCATGTGCATGATCGGCGAGAGTCCTAACCACTGTGCCACCGATGACGTCGATTAACTGATATTGCACTGTGCTTCCCTGATCACTGTAAAAACCGTCGATTGCTTAATCTGTTACTCAAAAAGTGTTCAGCGCAGTACAATGTATTGCGTGTGTTATGAAGTATCATAACAACTAACAATGAAATGCAGCAAAAAAAAGCTGGTGAAAAAAAGCCACATACTCGTCATTTTACCTCTAACCTATAAATTAATTGAAATAAAAGCTAAATTTTGTTGGAATTTGTTTACCAAGTATATTAGCAGTTTCATTACACTAGTCAATAGTTTGTAAGGATTTGCAATAGAGATTTTCAGTATAAGGAGAATGAAGACAATCGCTCATTTCTAGTTAGATTCAGTACTGGTGGCTGAACTTCATATTTTAGTTTGTTTTTAGCAAATGACTGTAGAAATAACCTATTACAAAATGATTGTTTACGGATACTTTTCCTGGTTTAAAAGAATATGTATAATATGGAAGTTGATAGTTACTACTTATTGAACAAATCATACCTGATCCATTGTACGTTTAATAGTTGCTGAATTGGTATTAGTAGTAGTAGCAGTAGCAGTTGTAGTAGAAGTACCAGTAGTAGTAAAATTGGCATTAGGATCTTGGAAATGATGCGTACTTCCCGTTTCTGTTTCACTGTTTGAATAATCCAAATACTCTGCATGTGAAAGATTATTGACTGTTGTCGGTAAGATTGAGTTGAGTAACATCGGTCGATCTGTCATACCAGTTGATGATGGCCAAATCATATCAGAAGATATACATTCTAGTTGTTGTGCATACCGGTTATTTTGAAATGATTTGGTGGAAGAGTATGAAGACGACACTGCTTGATCTACTAAAGCACATTCGAAATCATAGTGTTCAGTTGCAGATTTTTGTTTGCGGTTTGTGTTTTCATCAATAATTGTGTGCTTATTATCTTGCAAAACACGTGAACGATGATGTTGATGGGTTCTTAATTCTGAAGAAACTCCAATCGATGTTTGTCTAGCGACTAATTCACTTAATTTCAGACCAATTGTAGTAACCTGATATATTTTAAAAGTTAAAGAAAAAATGATTTATCTGACCTGATATGTTTAAGCAAGATGAGTTAATATATACAGAAGATTTCAACTTACAAGTAACCAAATGAGTGCTTTTTTCTTATTGGGAATATAAAAAAGCATTTACAGTAAGGCTAAGTGTCCAAAATACATTTGAAGATGGAGAAGCAACTGACTACATGACTTTAAACCAAGTGGCCTGGTTTTGTATTTTTAAACAAATACATCTAACTCAGCTAACGTGTAACTCAGACAAAAGTTAGCAAAAACTATCAAACAATCCCAGTAAGATTGAGACTTATCTAGCAATCAGGCCATATAACTGTAACCTCATCAACCGACTACTTAAAGATCTCATGTTTCCTATTCACTTATCATCTGTCCTTCTTAAACTCCGTTTTTAAAATAAGAAAAATATATATATATAAAATAAAAATGACATCCTACAGTCCAGCTTTTGTCAGTATGCACTGAAACTCATAACTATTATTTCTTTTCTGAGTTTTAAGTGGAACATGGAGCCTCAGCAACACATCTTTTTTTAGCTTGATTCCCTGCTACCAACTGCCTCTATGGCTGTATACAACCTTTCATTTTATCTTTCCATGATCTTCTCTATGTCACTCTCAGAAATCCACCTCACTGCTTCCGATTTCTGTTCCCCTCGAGGGCCTGGCACGTGTTGTCGCTTGAAGGTGTTCCCAGTGTGTGTTCAATCCGTCACCATTTCCCTCATTTTTTGGTCTTAGGAATGGCTGGCAAACTAGAATTTAAGTAACCATATTGTTTCTTGTCAGTAGCTTACAACTACTAAAATCGACCACTTCTTGACCAATAAAACCCAGATAACATTCATGCATTATGAAGACTCTGTTTAATTGATAATGTTCATAAGCATTTTACTAATCAGACGTTTGATATGCTCATCTTTCTTGATGAATTTTAAAGACAACAGAGGTCTACACGTTTCAGGTGGTCACACCTCTCATCACCAGTCTCGAAAATTCTTGTGAGTGAGAAATTAAGAAAGCATCATGTAATACCAAAAAATGTAGTCAACGACTATAAGCTCACAAGTCTGGTGTAACTTGAAGCATTGAAGTTTCAAATAACTTCATACACACTTTTGACCAGACATTCCTAATCTTCACTTATACGTGTGGCACACAGTCTAGTGCACTACACTCTTATTTGTCTTACGATAAGGCAGATGACAACAACAAGAATTACAGAAGTATAGGAATAAATTCTAGATTCAGACAAAAGAGGCGAAAATTGCAAGAAAATGTCTAAACTTTGCTTGATAGGCTGATAATTCCTAGGATACTAAGTAATACAATGTCAGTGGACATAATATGAAAAGACTTGTAGAATGAAGCCACTGAAGAAATATTTTACAGCAGAAAGAAATACTCGTTGATAAATCCACTTGGCATTGCAAGCATAGTGAGTGTTTTAGAAATTTTAAACAATACATAAGTTATAGAAACACGTCAAGAACAATTGATGAATAACATGGACAATACGAGTTGAAGACATGAAAAGGTTGACTGTTTTTGATCATAGATGTCTACGATCTCTTTCTCACGTTAGGCGGTATAATAAGGTAAGTAATGTTGACGTTAGGCGTAGAGTGTTGGGCAAAGAGGGAAAATCAATCGACGAGGCTATAAAGTTACATAGATTGAGATGGCTAGGTCACGTGCTGCGTATGCCTAACCATCGCCTCCCCCGACGGGCATTACTAGCTGATATAGGTTCAGGTTGGAAAAGAGTAAGTGGTGGCCAAACAAAAATATGGCCTCATCAATCCATGAAATCCTTGACAGTTAAACTGAGTCAGGTAGGGAGATGCAGACCTCCGGGTTGGGGCCCTCGGGACTCTAGGAATCAATGGCTGGAGACAATGGGTGACATGGCTCGAAATCGTTGTCAGTAGCGCAGATGTATTCAGTCTCTGTAGTCTTTCATATTTCTTTCTACCACTACCCATTCTGTTTCACTCTTATACTTGTCAAACTCTATTAATTCTCTCCACTCATCTTCTTGTCTACCTTTGTGTGTTACTTGGAACGTGGCAACTCGAACTGCTGCACTTCGGTGCCAAGTTCTATGTTGAATCCAGACAGACAGATGAATAACCTGTGATTACGCTTGTACATTTGCAAAAAAACTCCCCTCTATACAGAAATACTGAAGATATGCTTTACAGCACACCATTTGTTATAAATGCCTAGTAACGTCTCTCATTGAAGTACAGAATGGAGTTGGTTGGTTAGTTAGATCTCAACTACCCAGAACTGGGCTTGAGACTTTGGGAATTTTACAACCGTTAAATAACGTCAACAAATTAAAGTCTTTTTATAATTGAATTTAAACACGTCATGTATGAATAACACAGTCTAAACAGTATATATATATATATATATATATGTTTGGAAATTAGTCTAGTTTTCTGAATACGAACTAAGAGATCAGTTGATGAGCTCAAATCATTTACGGTGAAATGTAAGGGAGACTGAAAATAGTTTCCAGCATTTTGTGAATAAATGCTTCGGTAAAGAGCTGCAATGAGTTCATGGTCACTTGTTCTGCATGCGTATTCATTATATTGCTACTTCACATATCTACATATAGAATGGATTTCATATTCCTTGTCATATGAGACATATCTCAATGTGGACTTCATTACCCAACAACATTAGTCAGGGAAACTTGAGAGGTCAAGAGGAGGTGAAAAGCTGTTTCATTCTTATTTGAAACTCTTCAGCACTACACCTTAAGATTTCAAAAACAGAACGTTGACCATTCAGTAACTAGGCTGACACATGAATTCTAACTTCTAAAAATAACGCAAAAAAATCAATGTTACTTTCACTTAAGTTAGAATCAGGAAATTTCTTTCCGGTTTCTGCTGTTTTTCGAACAGGTATCACACACGTCACTGCAACGAAGTCGTCAAACAAACACGAGGAAATGATAAGTTGGCAACAAACAATTACATAAGATAAACTGGAAACCCTATAACCTTGGAATAATAGAAAAGATTTGTAACTCAGGTGGATGATTTGCAATTAATAGTGTTCAATATTAATTGCAAAACCCTTTAACCTTCTTTATATTGCTGTTTGAGAGAGCAGAAGGAACTATATCGCAATGGCGGTCGACCTCGATAATGAAATAATGCGAATAACGTATTGTTATCGGGTATAGTACAGTTGAGAGTTAGGCTTACGTCGTTCAGTGTAACAAATTAGATTATAATTTCACTGTGTACCATGGGGAATAAATATATTAAGTATGGAATCAATAATAACATTGAGTTATATGATGTTTTGGACATCGTTCATGAATTTGTGACGCATCAATAGACGCCAATTCAAGAAGAATATTTCGAAATTATGGGGCGACATTGAGAACTAGCTATACCTCAGCTTTTTCTGGTCACAAAATAAACACACCTTAATTTAAATTCATACGAAATTTAGCAGGATGTAAGTATGCAAACATTCGGCCAAACTTTCATAAATAACATAAAGTCAATAAAACGTAATTTTATTACTTTAGTGAATGTCATTTAAAAAAATCAGCTATAGGATATCTTTTAACATGAAGCAAATAAATATACATAACATTACCCAAGAACTAGTGAGTAACTGTTTATATTAGTTTCAGTTAAATAATGATAATCATGCCCTATTAATTTTACCAAACATGACTGAACGCAGACATATACATAAACATATGTATATGAAAAAGGTTTTTTAGTGATAAAACTTCGTATAACATTTTCATTTATTTCACAGAATACTACAACATATCGATTGAAAAGATTTTTTCCGTCAGCAATTCACTAACATTTACATGTCAACAAGACAGGATTATTATGATAAATTACTAACAAGTACATTTCACCTTTGTTTCCCTTCGAACTAATCCTTGAATGATCAATGAATAGAAATAAAATGTTGTTGTTTTTTTTTCATTCACTAGATTAGTGTTTTAAATTGTAGTAGTCATAGCAAACATAGGAGGAAGATAACTGTCATTGATTACGCAGAAGTAGAAATATATCATGTTTAAAGCAAAACAACACGATGAACATTGAATTTTCTTGATTAAAAATTAAAGATTGAAATGAACTTAGTTAAGTGATAAAAATTATTTACCCATGACAAACCAATCAAATCGGTATACGCTGGTGGGGAGTAGACAATAGTATTTTCTGTAGTATCAACAATTATCGCCATCAACGATTTTGAATGCACGCTCAATGTAGTCTTTGTAACGGTATTATTATCAGTACCAGTAATATTTGCGTTAAAATTAGGTGTAACAACTGTTGGTAGAATAGTATCACCATCACCAACAGACGTATAACAGTGGGATAAGTCAATTGAAGACAAGGATGAATCTGACTCTGCCGACTGATAATCTAATAGTGGTAATTTACGTTGCAATTTGATATTCACATCTGTAAAAAATAAAAGAAGTAAATAAGTTATAACTCTGTAGAACTAACCCAAACTTTAAATCACATTTATTGCAACCAAGTTTATAGTAGTATACAAATGAAATAAGAGGATGCAAGTATCGTCATATTATAAACCAAGATTTGACAGACTAAGCCACAAATTTATCATCGTGTGAATAGTTACTTTTGAATTTGTATACAGATTAATAAATGCAAATGACAAACATAATAAAGAGACGCGGTATACTGATTTATCCAGTTGACTTTCACTGTGCTGTGTGTGTCCAAATCCTGCTTAGCCTACTGAAGTTTAAGCGAACACAGTATTAGTAGCCTTCACTTAATAGATGCAAATCAGAGCTAAGTACAAGAAAAAGCATATAGTCTTGGAGATTAATTACATTTAAAATATAAAATATAAGAGTATCCATGATAGGCAAAGAAGACTATTAAGTTTGACAGAGCTTTCAAGGATATAAAGACCAACATCCGTGCATGTAACTATAAAATATAGGGTTTATGCACTCATCTTTAAATAAATGGGTCTAGATAGCCATATAGCGTTCATTTCCACGTATATCATGTAAGAATAACTAAAACTACATGTACTCTGAAGAAAAAATGAATCCAAATAATACTTATACAAAAAAGGAATCAGATATCGCACATTATTAAGATTGATCGGAAGTATGAAGTAACTAGTGCAAAATTCAAGTTCTTTTAATAGATTAGAAGAAGACAAGATTAAAAAGGCCAATTAAGTGAGAAATAAATTTACCTTGCTCAACATCATGTCAAAAGAAGCATGATTTATTGAATTCATGAATCTTACTGGGACTCAACTGATTTCAACTCTACATGTATGATCTTAAATACTGTTGTACAATGAAAGAATAAATACATCCAGAAAAAATACAGAGCAATACTCTGAGTGAAGTGTAGCAACATAATGTGACTACTTTGCACAATAACATACTAGTAACAAAATCATTTATACAGACTAGACAGCTGACGAGTTCTACCAAGATCTGTGATTGCAATGAATCCTATTTTAGAAGTGTCATTAGAAGTTTTAACTGCAGGTGATAAATTACGTAATAGCAGAGGCATTAATCGGTAGACACTAAAATTAAATGAAATAAGTAGATTGAGTGATGTAACCTAATTAACGGGATTAGGTAAAATTCAACTAAAACAGAACGAGTCCACTTATTAACAGTAGTAATACAGAATAGTGTGTCGGTGGCATAGCGGTTAGGACATGCACATGGTCCGGGGTTCGATCCCCGGCCGATGCACTCCTTTACCTCGCTAAGCCAGAGATAATGCTGGTAAAGAGGGAAGGTTAGGCATGAGGCTAGCAACCCCATCCTGTAAAAATTAAACACTGCTACAGAAACTTCAAGCCACTAGCTTGAGGCTTTATGTTCCACTAGGAATGTGAAGGAAAAAAAATACAGAGTAGACATTTAGCAGAGGTTGAGGAAAAAATAATACAGTTAAAGACCAGAAAACAAATACCACGTATTCAGTGTTAAGACAGATTAGGTCCACAGTAGATTGATTGACTGAGCACACTTCTTCTGTATGTAGAGTTCGGGATTTAACATGTGCTTCTAGGGTTTGAAAAACTTTGATTTGTACTCTTTTGGAAACATTTTCGCCTATTCTGTAGATAAATTTGAAGTTGTTTTGCAGGTTAGCTTGGTGTCCAGTTTTAATCAGGTGTTCCAGAATAGAGCTAAGGGGAATTTTTTCTCCTTTATAAAACCATGAGTATGTATTCGATGATATGAATGCGAATTCTGAGTGGACGAGACATATCTAACTACCTAACACTTTGGTTATTGCTTAATCTGTATTGACCTCATTCGTCTAAAACAGTCCTAAATCACAACAGATCATTAAGCACCACTATAAAAATAAAATTATACAATTTTAAAAGTCTAGAAACTAAAATCACAGTCTGAAGATCAATAGGCCAGCAGAAAGGAGTAGGCATATCTATTCTATTAATTGACGATTGAATATGAGTAATGTCTTTGCTTTATTTATTTTGGGCATTTTGTAAGATTAAAAGAATTTTTCCGACACCTATATTGAAGTGCTTGCTTCTGTGAGAATAACCTTTCATTGTATTAAAAAAATGCGTTAATTTTAAGTTATACATTTCCTCACATTTATTAGTTGTAAATCTTTAAGGTATTTTAACTTTCAAGGCATTTGACTGTTTAAATTTTAGAAGCATTCAGGTCATTATTTTATGATCCACGAAAAGAACGATAGTTTGAATAGCACGTCAAACTATTCTCCCAAATCTCGCCAATTTGTGAATTATTAAGACAAAATTGGGAATCGACCATCCATAAGATATCTGAATATCTGGTTGATTTTGGCCAAAAATTTAAGTCAGGGCAAACAGTTTAAAGACGAATATTTAAAATCTTCAATCCATAGCATGCTTGGAAGTGTACCGAGAGTCTTCGCGAAGGGGAGACGGCACATGCTAATTCCTACGGCTTATGATTGACAGGTGGATATAAAGGGTACAGTTACAGCTGTTTGTCTAATCTCACCATATCTCTTGAGTATCGTTGTCTGCAACATTGAAGACAGATTGGGATAAGATGCGTGGTGGTGAAATATGTCCACCATCCAAAGAAACATTATGTAACACCCAGAATGCAAATAATATCGTTCTGTTATGCTACAACACGCAGAGTGCCCAAACTTCACTAGAGAAAATGGTGCTTAGTACTGCATTATGTGTACTTTGCATCATTGGAATGCAAAATAGTTTTGCCAGGAGCTTAGGAATGCACTTGCCCTGACAAATAATGGATACATTTGTATACGTATGTAGTTAAATGTAATGTTAATTTCATATACACGCGGGAACTAAATAAAATGTTTTTTCAGTGTTTTTGTGCGTGAAGTCTCGCTCTACAGATGCGACACCCAGTTTCAACAGAAGAGAATGTCATGTAACTTTTCGTGTTTGACAATCAATGTATTCATTAACATCTGGAGGTGACATCAGGTAGGTGATTCGCAGATCCAGATGTACAAGTTCAGAAAAGTGGATTGTTGAATGAGTGCAATTTTGACCTGATTTCTTAACAATCGTATTAACCATGTACACTTCAGTCGTCTCAGATAACTGTCTTGCAAGTGCATTTGAATTTAACACAATTAAGACTAACAAGATACCAACTACAATATTGAATATACTATTTACTTTATTCAAATAAATCCCACAATCAGACCATTCTAAGTACTCTGCTCCCAATCCTTCCCTCATTATCACACCCAAAGCTCCTTTGGAAAGAAATTAATTTCTGTCTCACAGAGAGCTACACAGGTACCTTATCACCCCAACAATATTTCAGCATAAGTGCTTGCATCACTACCGAATACTCGTTTGACATATATGATACCATCGTTCAAGTTTATCATCCCTAGGAAATGCACAAACAAACTGTCTTGTGGGGAGAATATAGCATTTATTTTTGCTTTGCATACAGGTAAATAATTAGTATCCTTTAACTTTTTAAGTGCTACTTACCTGATTCAAATAGCGGATGAAGCCAGTTGTACATGCACAAAGCATTACTAGCTATGCGCACAATAACGGCCTTTTCTAGCACTGGTGTAGACAAATTGTGTTGTCTGAATATGGTTGCAGCAAGGCGATAGGTCGGAGCAAAGCTAAGTTCATTGTTGACACTTAAGGAACCACCTCTTGATAAACTTTCCGATATTTGCTCATGATCTTCTAATTCAGAATGCGTCATCTTCTGACATTTGTTTCTCAGAACATCTGCAGCCAGATTTTGTTGAATCGGGAGAGCCAAGTAAAGTTCAACCAGAGCTTGGTTTTCACGATGCCTACGTTGTTTAGCTGCGATACGAGACTTTTCACGACGCTCGCAGGCTTGTCGAGCTTTGAAGTTGTTGTCTTGTCTTGTTTGTGAGTGGACGGTGTCAGAGATAACTTGTTCATTTTTCGATGGTAAATTATTTTCATGGGTGTAATCTGTAGGCTTGCATTGTTCCTTTTCATGCAACGATGCATTTCTTTTTCGAGATTTGCTGTAGTTCCTTCTAAAATGAGAATAAAAAGATGAAAACTTGAAAACCAGCGAAATAAAATGTAGATGACAAGTCTTCAAACAAGTTAAAGTGAAGCATATTAAGAGCTTCAAACATACTAGAAATAAATCGGATCATTAGACGTGACAATGAGATAGTAGTAAAACCAAAGTAAGAATACGAAATAGTACACCCTTCCTATACACTCCTTACTTGTATGAAGAACCTCTTTCCTGGAATTTAAGTTTCCTCTAGTAACTTTCAATTAATTACATCTTTCAGTTACGTATTTAGTTACATAAAGCGTCTATTTACGATTCTAGGCCCCGGAGTAAGCTGGTTTACTGTATGATAGTTGATTTTTTCATTTCGAACTCAGAAGAAAATTGACGACAACCCTAGTGAAATTACATTGTAACCATAAACTGACCACTGACCTCTATGATAAGTTTTATATTCTGATAGTGTTTGAAGAGTGAGCAATAATAAACTTATTTTTTTATTTTGATTACAGCTTGATGCCACTCTGTATTTTCGGTACAAGTATGGAATTTTCAGCATGTGATATCAGTAGCCCAAATTTCGCAGGCCGACCATAGATATCGGGTGTGCGTCGGCAGGGGATCGACCCCCGGACCATGTGCATGGTTGGCGAGAGTCCTAACTACTGTGCCACCGACGCACAATCCTCATGGTATAACGTGTGGAATAGAGTATTTAAATATTTAGTGTTGTGATATTCGTGTCTTTTGTTAAGCATCAAATCGACAATCAAAAATAAAATACAACCGATAGAATGGTAGGAGAGAAACATATCAAAAAAGTATCAATTAGGCTTTTAAGTAATACGACGTTATAAGATGACGTAGGATAACCATTAGGTGACTTTGATATACTGGACAATTTCATCTGGTTAGGCAAGACTCAAGGTATATCAGAAAATATGATTCAGACTAAAAATCTGCAAAACCATTATTGAACACTAGGTAGTAGGTAGTGTTATGCATGTAGGTGCAGAGTGAATTCTCTCAGCACGAATTGATTAGTGGTAACGTCTTTGGCTGCAGTATTGTGTACAACCAGTTCTAACCTCGGAAAGGACATGAATTCTTCCAGGGTTTCCGGTAATTTTGCTGCTAAGTGCCAACAAGCACGAAAAGTAAGTCCAGGGACACCTGCAAGTAGTCTGCAACCATCTAATAGCCTATAGAACATTTATTACTTCGAATAAAAACAACGAAACAACCACCCAACACTCTTATGCACACCCCAAGATGATTTACAGATTATAAAAACCACACACTAAAAAGTGGTCAGAGCATAACATATCACAGTGTCACATTTATATATCTGTAAACATTTCTATATAGAGATAAATATATGTATAGTATATTCAGTAACATAAAGCTACACAATGACAAAATGACAACGGTTATAATGGCAAAAGATTTACACATTTAACTAGGGATGTCAATAGTATTCAAGAGAAACGAGTTGTACGAGGAGTGTCCCGTATTCATTCCCTTTGTAGGTCTGCATTTGATCGAGTGAAACCATATAAATTAAACACACGGACTGATAAGAGATGTTGAACAACCTGCTAAACTTACACAGGATAGCATACAGGAGTACCAGGAGGCGCAGCACTGGTAAGCACATCTCGCGATGTAGTACCGCAAGAGACAATTCCAGCGGTCTATTATCTTGAGAAGAGAAACAGTAAAACAAATGTAATATCCAAAATTGTATTTACGAGCCTGTATGAATCAATTTGATTTCTTTTTGCTCTCTTATTGATTTCGAGGTCAAATTTATTGGTCTTAGGTAAATTTATGCGTAGTTCCTCCCGCCACTCGATCATTGTGGCTCTGGTTGACTGAAAAAGAGTAGTGCTGCGATTAATTATATGTTGTCTGCAGTATGAGGTGAGTTAGGACATTTTTACCACTGTGAATGAAGTCGATCTTTACACGAGTTAGTCCCGCGGTGTCATCGCCAAAAGAAAAGAGATAATAATAACAGATATAATTAGTGTAGGTTATTCAGACTTCAAGACAGAAATATCAGTAAAGAAAACTTAAAAACAGACAGTCAACTAAATTCGACGTTCCTGTACATCCACAAAAATACAAATATGTGCGAATGCACATAATATCAGTAATAATGATGCGTAAGTGTGGTAGTTGGATTAGTCAGGTGGTAAGAATGGAGAGAATGTAAAGGAGTAAAACGATGAGTTTAGATGTCTACTAATTAATCGTGTATGAGACTTTCGGGGTACGGAGTTTTTGTGTTGGCGCATGCCTATTCTGACTTCGTTTAAATCTGTCCACAGACGGTGCCGTAGCTAGATGTGCCAGCAAGGAGTTCCAGGGACGGAAAACCAGCAGTGAAAGAAGTGGAAGTGCGACCTAGTCCTTGCTATCTAGTAAGTTATTCTCCCGAGATTTCCACAAGTTAGACTAAACCTACTCGTTAGCAGAACAGATTTGTTCAGATGCTTTTAGTAATTTGTTATCTTGCGTGCAGTGATCAAGTTCTCTCTAAACTGGCAGTAGCTAAGTGTGAATAGGCCTAACTTGATTGGCCTCTTCTATGTTACCGACCGTAACACTGGGATACGCTTCCTAATTGATACCGGAGCAGAGGTCAGTGTAATCCCACCCACAGTAGAGGAGCGCAGGCGGCCAATGTCTCTTCAACTACGAGCCGCAAACGGTTCGCCAATTGCTACGTTCGGCAGGCGCTTTATAGATCTTAACATCGGTTTGCGTCGTTCACTTCGTTGGGTCTTCCTGGTGGCAGACGTTACCACAGGTATAATTGGCATGGATCTATTGCAGCACTACCAATTACTGGTAGATACAGGTAATCATAAGTTAAAAGATCCTGTCACAAACCTCTCCGTCAGCGGTATCGTCACACAAGGCCCAGCCCTCAGCCCGGTATATGCCACACCCACTAGCACTGGTCCTTATTCGCATATACTGCAGTCTTTTTCAGATTTGTTCAAACCTAGCAGCGGCCTGCCATGTGCGACTTCCAACGTCAAACACCATATTGTCACTACTGGCCCGCCAGTTTTCGCAAAGCCGAGGCGACTATCCCCAGAAAAACTAAAGGTTGTCAAAGCGGAGTTTGAGCATATGCTGGAAATGGGGATTATTAGGCCATCCAGCAGCCCGTGGTCCTCACCGTTGCACCTGGTACCTAAGAATAACGGTTTAGATTGGCGTCCTTGTGGCGACTACCGCAGACTAAACGCACAAACTGTTCCCGATCGCTACCCTGTCCCGCACATACACGATTTAACCGCCTCACTCAAGGGAGCTCGAGTATTCAGCAAACTGGACCTTACACGGGCTTACTACCAGATTCCCGTCGACCCCGAAGATATACCTAAGACTGCTGTGATTACACCGTTTGGCCTGTTCGAGTTTCTTCGAATGCCTTTTGGCTTACGGAACGCTGCACAAACCTTCCAGCGTTTTATACATGACGTTTTGCGCGGGCTTGATTTCGCCTTCGCCTATCTGGACGATATCTTGGTAGCTAGTCCAGATGAAGCCACTCATCAACTTCATTTGCAGACAGTTTTCCAAAGACTTGTGACACACTCCCTCACACTCAACTTGCCGAAGTGTCAGATTGGAGTCACTTCCCTGAAATTTTTGGGACATAGGATAGACAAAGATGGAATTTATCCGTTACCTGACCGGGTAGAAGCTATTCAAAACTTCCCTCTACCCACTTCTCCCAAGGCACTACGCACTTTTCTCGGGATGGTTAGTTACTACCGTCGCTTTATCCCACAGTGTGCTCATATCGTGACCCCCTTGACTGACATGCTTAAAGGGAAATGCAAGTCTTTGGTGTTCACTAAGGAAGCCTCGACAGCTTTTGCAGCTATCAAGAAAGCTATTGCTGACGCCACAATGTTGGTCCATCTAGATGTTCAACTTCCAATCAGCATCTCCGTAGATGCCTCTAATACTGCGATCGGAGCCGTCCTTCAACAGCGTATGGCTAATGTATGGCTACCGATTGCTTTCTTTTCACGTAAACTTACCGCATGCGAATCTCGATACAGCACATTCGGTAGGGAACTTCTCGCTGTCTACGCTGCTGTCAAGCATTTTCGTCACTTCGTGGAAGGCCGGCAATTTACGGTATTTACCGACCATAAGCCATTGACGTACGCCCTCCACACTACTTCAGACCGGTATTCACCGCGAGAATCACGCCATTTAGACTATATTTCCCAGTTCACTTCTGATATCCAGCACGTTTCTGGATCGGATAACGCGGTAGCAGACGCTTTGTCTCGCGTATGTGCTACGTCCGTACCACCAACCATCGATCTTCATAAAATGGCCGAACTCCAACTGAACGATTTGAACTTAGAACACCTGTCAAATAAAACCTCACTGAAATAGAACGCGTCCCCTTGCTAAACAGTGAGGCAACTATACTTTGCGATATGTCAACTGGTACTCCTCGACCGATTGTTCCCACGTCTTTACGCCGAACTGTGTTTGAGTCACTCCACAACCTCTCCCATCCTGGCATACGAGCAACGGACAAGTTGATTTCTGCGAGATTTGCGTGGCCCGGTATGAACCGTGATGTGCGTCAATGGACACGTGCTTGTGTGCAATGCCAACGTGCTAAAGTCACCAAGCATAACATCACGCCGTTGGGGACGTTTGCGACCCCAGACGCTCGGTTCCATCATATCCACCTGGATATAGTAGGGCCTCTGCCCCCGTCTAACGGCTGCTCGTATTTACTCACATGTGTGGATCGTTTCACCGTTCCGATACCAGATGTAACGGCTCAAACCGTCTGTCGTGCCTTCATGGAGGCTGGGTTGCCCATTTTGGATGTCCCGCAACTGTCACTACCGACCGCGGACAACAATTGAATCCACAAGCTTCAAAGAATTGTTAGAGATGCTGGGATGCAAACGCATTCGCACAACCGCGTATCATCCCGCGGCAAATGGCCTAGTAGAACGTTTCCACCGTCAACTCAAAGCTGCGTTGATGGCAGTGGACAACAGTAAGTGGACAGATTCGCTACCACTGGTCCTGCTTAGCATCCGGGCTACGCTTAAGGGGGATCTGCAGTGCTCGCCAGCTGAATTGGTGTACGGTACCACCATGCGTTTACCAGGCGAGCTAATCGCTCCCGAAACTTTCGAGCCAAATTTCCCGGATACCACCCGTTACGCTCAGCAACTTAAAAGTTTTATGCAGCGACTCCGACCAGTTTCCACACGCACTCAGAACCGAAAGGTTCAGGTTGATCGGCGACTTGATGACTGTACACACGTTTTCGTGCGTCACGACGCCATACGAAAGCCATTACAACCACCGTATGACGGGCCTTTTAAGGTCCTTAGTCGTAAAGATAAATTTTTCGTTATTGACCGATGCGGCCGCCCAGACACTGTCAGCATAGACAGACTTAAAGCGGCATACACTGAAGAACCTTCACCCTCCCCATCGGCTCAATCAAATAGCCCCACTGAACCTAGTCCTTGTCCAGACTCAACTACCTCACCTCCGGTGGTGAATGATGATTCTCCTACCGTCACCAGTAAGACCCCGGTCACACGTGCTGGTCGACGTGTTCACTGGCCCAAGAGGTTCGTAGAATTCTTTCACTGAACTAATCCATAGGTAAGGCTACTAGTGATTTTTTATTCCTTGTCACAATTTCTTATTCAATTCTGCTATATTTAATCTATTTGGTCCCGCTTCTGGGAGTAGTCGTTTTAACCCTCACTAATCCTTTTAATCTTTATCTCTCGTTACAGAGGACCAGCATCAGTTTGTTTTTACCCCTAATTTTTCATCTCAATCTACTCGCTAGATCAGTTGGCTTCTCATGTCATCTTGTAACCCACACCAAAAGAGGAATTATGAACAGTATATTACCTTTCACTGCCCATTTTCTTCCAAAAAAAAATTAATTATTATTAAAAAAAATTTTTATAAAAAAAAGAAAATATTAAAAAAAAAGAAAATACAAAAAAGTAAAAAAATGTAAAATAATAATAAATAAACAAAAAAATTTTTTAAATAAAAAAAAGATTATTTAAAAAAAACAAAAAAAACTTCCATTGTATAGTTAAATGGACAGATATACATATTTTTTTGCGCATAAATGCTTCACTTCTATGCTGTACATAGTAATCCGCTCAATTTATTTTCACAGCCTGTACTATATTCCTTCGGGTTTATGCCCTCCTGCAATTCATTTATTTTGTGAACCGTACTTATAAACATTATGCATCATCTTAGTTATGCACTTAGCAACATGAACAAAGTAATTTTGGTAATGATAACTACTCATAGCTATGGGTTATGTACTAACTTCTCTGTAATTTTATAAGTTCTCACAGGGTAGAAACTTCCTTTGTTTTATCTCATTCTAACGTACTACTTCCAAGTTGCACCACTTTTCCTCGCATTGATTTCGCACAAGCTTTTGTAGTACCTTTACACCGATTTTGAAATCTTAACCTTCTTTCCCATTTTCTTCTGTTGTTTTTTTTACCCTGCTCCTTATCATACGCTGGTATAATGATTGCCTTTAACATGACTGCTAGGTTCTGTTGAAGCGGAGGAAGGGAGCATTGGTCTAATATGAAAGTTAGACATAATGAGTCACCTTCTTGCTACGACAGCCTCGGCGCCAGAGGTTTACCA